CCTGTACATACTTTCTCAAGGGAGATAAGTAGAGAAAGAGAAAATTTTGTGAATTTTAGAGCTCACTTAAGGTGAACAGTTTATGGCTTGGGGGAAACAGAACAAAACTAAAAGTTCTGGGATAGCTGAGGAATGAGATATTGGTCTGCTGGGTTCCAGTTCTTGAGCAGCATAGAAAAGCAGTAATTTTTTACAATTATTGGGGGGTTTTTTGACATGCTAAAAAAATACCTGTAAGCCTTCTGGGGTCAGTGGGGGAGCAGGCCTTTCTTGCGAACAGCAGTAGTGAAGAAAGAATAAGATGAGGCTATGCTTAGGGGCAAGCTACTCAGTGCTGGTTATGGGGTCTTGTCACAAGCCCACCTGAACTCCAGCAGTCCGGATCCTGTGCAGAAGCAGCTCAGGCAAGGCCTGGCTGTGCAGGTGCACAAACAGGCGTGTGCACTCACTCAGGGGCTTTCTTACCCTACTGTGTTCCTCTTTAGAGGGGGGAAAACTAACATCAGTCCTGCTGGTACCACGAGGCTTCTACAACTATGAATTTTTAAACAGCTCTTCAGCAGTAGCAGAATGTGCCTTTGACAGTGGTTTGTCCAGCTAATACCCCTGTGATTCTCAGGAGCAAACCATTATATGTGCAGAAGTGCATATGACTCACCCTCTTACTCTCATCCAGTACAGCAGCTGAGTCAATAATGGGACAAAAAAAAATCATCACCCTCCTTTCCTGACTGCTTCAGGACTCCTGGAACCATCCAAACTCACAAACTGCTATTAACACCTTCCCATGAAAATGCCTGCACTTCTGGCTTTACTATCAACAACCCTTTTCCCATTGTAGCAAAGCAAAGACCCTGTCAAAGGCAGTTAATACTGCTTTTTTTTATTTATTTTATTTATTTACAAAGAGGTGTAATTGAAATTGCAGTATTAAATCTACTTAATAATTGCAGTATTAAATCATTAATACAAGAGAGTATCTGACAGTGTTACCATTACTATGCTCAGTTTATGATTTGGTGATGATGAATTTTGCATAATTAATTTTTGAAACCTGAATTTATTTTTCCTAGTGATCTCCAATTCATTTATCCCTCTTCTGAATTTATGACTGGAGAAGTTTCAGGTCATTGTCTTAGAGTAGCAAATACTTTATAATCTGTGCTAATTTAACCCAATGTAATTATATATAGCTATGGGTGTGTTCACCTTTAAAAACATCCAGTATTGTAATTAGAATAATTAGTAATCGAGAAGTCTAAGAGGGAAACAAAACCTTCTAGCTGCTTGACAGCTGTGTTGGCTGTAGCCATTTTCAGAGCTAGGAGAAGAAGAGAAATTTAACTTAATTTAAATCACTCTTAAAATTAGTAGGTATTACTAACTGAAAGGTTTTATAATTCCATACCATGACTACTAAATTACCAAAGCTGAAAAATTCAATTCTACATCAAAACCCAGCACAATGTAGCCCACTACGGAGGCCCAACTTCCTGCCCTGCTTTTCCCCCCTCTTTTATTTATTCTTTTTTTTCAACTTCCCACTTTGAATTTATCCATCTTTAATACTGTTTTTGTAAGTTTGCATGACTTTGGTAGTTCTCCTGAAAAGACACAGCTGCCTTGGTTTTCATTCTTTCACTTAAGCATAATGTACTGGGTAAGTCACAGAGCATCACCATCAAGTGCCCTGTGTAAGTGATCTACATCTGGGTATCCATTCAGCACTCCTCCTTACACTCACTGATGCAAATTACCTATTTGCTCGTGGATTCAGGCTTTTTAGTCCTTCTCCTCTTCAAACTGGAAAATGGAGAAGAGTTAAAAACTTCATCCATTAACATTCAACTCATATAAATAATAAGCTACAGTCATATCACTTTACCTGAGTTGAACATAGGAATGAAGGTAAGGACTGATTACATAAAGCCAAACCCTCAAGAGCAGAAGTTCCTCTATTTAGAGAAAGAAAGGATGCCATAAATCAATACAAAGTTTTCAGGGAAGCACTGAATAGCATTTTGTGAAGTATGTCATTTAACTGACCTAATACCAAACCTTTGCCTGCAGGTACCACAGCTTCCTGGCTTTTCCTGGCTAAAGCCCTGCCTTTCAGCATCTGATATTGTGTACATTGGTTTGAGGGATGTGGATCCTGCTGAATAGTAAGTTGATTTAGATTAAACTATTTTTGTAAAGGCTGAAATAATAAGCTTGACATCACGTCCGTAAGAGTTGCTAGATTTCATCTTAGACCAATAATGATTGTTTAATTTAAAAAATTATTTTCACAGCTATATTTTGAAAAACTTTGACATCCAGTATTTTTCCATGAGGGATATCGATCGCCTTGGAATACAGAAAGTTATGGAAAGAACCTTTGAACGACTGATGGGCAGGTAACGACTACTATCTGATTTAAACTGCTCTTGTTGAACATCTGCTTTCCTGAAAGTTATTTAAGTGAAGGTCACTTGATGTAAGGCGGCCGTACAGAGCTGTGACAGTGTCCAGTACACGGGGAAGTCTCAGCACTGGAGCCATTTCACACTGTTTGCAGATGACTGAGACAGGTTACAACTCACTACAGCTGTGGCTCTGTTTTATACTGCTTGGTTCTGTTAAGTAATTCTGCATTTTCTGCAGCTTGATAAGATGTTTGAATCAACTCAGAGCGCAGGATACACATTATACTTTTAAAAATACATACAGCAACTTTGACAGTAACTTGAAATGAGCTGTTGGTATGGGAAGTGGAAGCATTTGATGGCTTCTTCCTTGGACTGCTCACACACAATGTCCTGATGGCAGCTGCCAGTGCCAGTGCAGCTGGTGAAGTTCACTTTAACCACTCCCTTACTCCAGTTCACTACTGCCACCTTTGTCACCCTTGTTCAAGTTTGGGGAACGAGGTCAGAGAGGAAATGACGCTAGGAGCTGGGAGAGGGTCACTTAGAAAGGGTAACCTCTCCCACAGGTTAGAACATGAGCTGCATGCTGCTGTTTTCTAAAGGTATATTCACCCTTCCTAGCTGCAGCTGTGCCAAGTAAAGAAGATGGTAATCCAGATGCTTATCCTTACTGAGCATCTGCAGTAAGTTGGAAGTATGGAGTCTGCCACTTAAATAATTCATGTGAGTGACAAGCAGGGTCCAGTTTATTAAGCTGTCATCAGCTGGTAGATGATACAGTAAGTAACTAACATTTTAGGTTTGAGATCATCCTTTACTACTTCAGCAGTTAGGCTACATGGCAGGGATTGGACACAGCCTTTAAGTATTGACCTGAAAAATGCTCATCTTGATGAGCTGTCAGTAAATCCTTGAGCTCGGTGCTTCCTCCATCCTAGCTGCCATGCACATCAGTGTTTCAGCCTTCACCCTGGCTTTCTGTACAAAAGGAGAAAAGGCTGGATTGTATCATACACTTCTCTACATCAATCCACTAAGATGACAAATACCAGTTAAGATGGTTTGAACTAAAGTACTTATCTTCAACCAAATCCTCGCTGAGTAGATGCTTTTATAATGTATATGAGACATGGCTCAAGGAGCTTGATAGTACTTTTCTGATTAGCCTAGACAGTAAGAAATGCACATAGGAAAAGATTTAAGACTCTAAGATTGCTTTTCTTGTTTTATTCTGTCTCAGGAGACAGAGACCAATTCACCTAAGTTTTGACATTGATGCTTTTGATCCCTCACTGGCTCCAGCAACGGGGACTCCTGTTCTAGGTGGATTAACTTACAGAGAAGGAATGTACATCACAGAGGAAATACACAACACAGGTAGGAACTGACCAGCAGTACGGGGCTAAGCAAGGACAGGACAAACTACCCAGAGCTCATACTGGTTATGTTTTTCCGGTATAAATAGGTAGTAAGTAAGTAGTCAAAGCAAAGGTGCCTGCAAAGTCAATTCAGCCTTCAGTAAGGAAAGAAGAAGTCCTGTGATTGGGCAGTTCCCTTGGTGTTGGAAGCATCTTAACCACCAACAACTTCAGCTTAGCAAAAGAACATACACAGTATGTTAACAGCTAATGTCAAAAATGTGTAATACTGTTCCCTAATCCTAAGCACATGAGGCGAGATGTGAAAATGGGCATCTGGAATACAAAAATGGGTGCAAACAATCTTAAATAGTCTGAAGTTCCACTCTAGGATTCAAGATTAACAAATCAAGCTTTCATAAAATATACTGCAGTTTATTCAATATATGAGGACTTCTCATCTTACTACCATCAAGTTTTTATTTGATGTTTAAACAATATTATTTGCAGTAAAAGAAGGTTTAAAAAATCCCAAACAGACAATAGTCTATAGATTCATGAACAAGATGGCAAAAGAATACAAAGTGAGACTCTTTTATAACCCTCATTTTTGGACTGGGAGAAAAAATGTTCCTCTCATAAATGCGTATGGAACATCAAACGTTTTTCCTGAATGCTGAAAGCACAAATGAGTGAGGTAGTGATGATATAAGAAAGAACCAAATTAAAAACACAAATTTGCATCTGAGAACAAACTTCATCCCTTGAGTGCCAATCTTACTTGTCTAAGGGGGTAGAGCAGGTCACAAACCCAAATACCAGACTTGCTACGATGAACAAAAAGCTGTGAACAAAAGCGTGCAGAAGACTGTACCCTTTGTCAGAGTAACAGAGCTGCAAATCACTTTCACAGGAATGCTTTCAGCTGTAGACATGGTTGAAGTCAATCCACTGCTCGGAGCTTCTCAAGAGGCAGTGAAAGCAACTGCTCGCCTTGCAGTCGATGTGATAGCAACGTGCTTTGGGCAGACAAGGGAAGGAGCACACATCGCTTTTGATGGACTCCCAACACCCAGCTCTCCAGATGAATCTGACAGTGAAGAGCAAGTGAGGATTTAAGAACCCGTCTTGGATCTATTGGACACTACAGAGCTCTGCTGAGGCACTTGAGTGGACAGATTGTCAACACTTGGCAAATACTGTTAACGTCTCAGTTTTTAAATAAACTAGCTTTTCCATTGATCAGTGGCTACTTTATTACATAGCAAGATTTATTCATTTAGTTAAGTATATACAAAATGAGACAATAAAATATTTATTACCTTCTTATTAATCTTACCAGTAGTTCAAGCCTGTTTCTTTTTACTCCCATTCTCTGTCTTTCAAATGTCAGTACAGTTTCAGCTGAATGTGCTGTCTCATAACTCAGTTCAACCCTCAGACAGTCAAAGGGAGCAGATAGCCCATCCTATTCCTCATCAGTGGAAAAGCTCAGCTTGGGCATGAAGGTTCATTTCTTGCGAAAGAACTTGAAGTAGACCACACCTCCTAGGATGGCCAGTTCCAGGATGATGATAATTGACAGCAGCAACTTATTTGTGGTTACTCTAGAGTTAAAAAATAAAAACCCGAGTCTGTTTTTTTCCTAGCTTTTTTTATGAAAGCAGATTCTAGATTCAGATCACCATCTTCCCTTCCCTGTTTCAGCAAGACCAACACTGTGCTTTTCAAAAAGCTCTTAACAAGCAGAAAGGGCCAAACTCAATAGTTCACTACTCATGTTTTCCTGGAAATTCTGTCTGTTCCTCTTCACATGTCCCACAGAAGGCAGATAATTGCTCTGTATGTGCCTACTCCTTCAGTCAAGCAAAGAGGAAAACAATACTTGAAGTCCTGTGCTAAAAAATCCTCTTTGTGGTACTTTTACTTGGAAGTGTGTTGCTGAAGGAAAGCTAAAATTTCAAAATAATAAAGTACTTTTACTACGGAAAAGTAGACAGTTATCACAACTTCCTTTAGCAATGGGCATAAAGGAAAGGTTGTGAGGAGAAAAGTAGCTGCTGGGAATACAGTCTATGAACTGGGTTTTTAAGACTAATTAAACAATATAGCTAAACTGCAAATCCACTTAAGAAGCCAAGGTTTTAGCCATCAAAATAGTACATGCTGTGGCTCAGAGTGTCTCATGGGCCAGCCTAAGACTGACTAACTGCTCTAGGGCATTGGTACGGGCTAAACAGCCCAATGCTGCAGTGATTTATGGCACAGCTTTTCCCAGCCTGAATGAGTGGCATCTGAAGGCACCATGAGCAAGTCACGGTAACTTGCTTCTGTCCTCACCCTGGTTTGGATAGTTGAAGACCCCACATCATCCTGACCAAACAGCACACATTCAGTGCTGTTCAGCCTTTTACTCCATTAAGCAATTACCAGCAAGGAAAACACACAAATTAGCATCCGCATGTGGGCACACGTTCTGTTTACACATTTCCTAAAACCTGCCTGCAGTCCCAGCTGACATTCTGTTTTTCCCCAGGATTTGTATTAAATCCAGCAGGCACCAATGCCCCATGCTGCTGTCAGCCACACCGCTCACCTCCGAGACATGGCGCGTAGAATCTTGCGACTCTTGCTCAAGTTCTCACTTGTATTCACCAACTGAGGAGAGACAGAAGTTACTTGTCAGTTAAACAAGCACACATCAACTCTGGAAAGATGCACATGAAAGCAGCTGGTGTTGAAATGCTGCAATGAATTACAGAACCAAGGATGACCATGTCCTCTCAAAACTGAGACACAACATTGTTTTTTACCCACAATAGCAGCTGGAAGCATTGCCTCTTTCCTAAGGAGAAATAAAGACTTTTCTGTATACTCTCCCTTAGATACATACAAAGATATGCAATTTGAGACCACTTTCTGCCTCTTTAATTAATATACAAATATCAGAAAAATAGTATTAACTTCTTTCATTAAGTTTTATTTCTGTTAACACCAGAAGAAAGTGATACTGAGGTGTTCACCCCAGTGCCTATCAAAGTGTTTGAAATGCTGCTCAAGTTCTATCACAGAGAGAACTCTGTTGCACCCAGAGGTCTGTGTGACCCAGTGGGTACAAGCTCTGAGCTGTTAATGGATAATCCATTTCAGATTTGTATTGTCCAGAAATGAACTGCCCAGCACACCCAGTCAGCTATCAAGAAACATGCAATGATGTGAGGTTACAGACAACTAAAAAAGCTGTTGTTTCACAGACACAATTCATGCTGCATGGCCACTGGTCTCCAGGTAAGATTTCACTATTCCACTTCCAAACATTCTAGGGAAGTGAAGGGTAAGCCAGGTCACTTACATCACAGACACCAGCCTGCATGATTCCTCTGCAGTTTAACATATTGCCCTCAACTGCAAAATTCCTTGTATGTTTCTTTGCACTGAGATGGACAAAGCTGGGAAGAAAACTATTAAGACCACTGGGAGCTTAGTAATTTCCAATCTTCACTATGAAAGAACAAGTACGAAGAAAGTCTGCTTCCAGTTGGAATGTGTGGTTCACACAATTCCACAATTCATTGCCTAAGAGGCTCACAGTAGAAGTCACAGACGTTGTTTAGTGATGAACACAGCAGTGATGGGTTAACAGTTGGACTCAATGATTTTTAAGGCCTTTTCCAACCTAAACAATTCTATGCTGATGTGAACGATCTGTTGGGAGACTGTGATGCCTGAAGGACTGCAATGTTTTTTATTAGCTAACAGACAAAAACTATACCTACAAATCTTAAGATCAATTTCATATCCTGCTTTCTAACCCAAATTTTGGAATAGGACAAATCAAATTCTGACTGAAATTACAGAAGTACTTAAATGAAAAAGCTACAGGCTTTGTTGCAATGAGTAGAAAGAACTCCCAAAAGCAGGGGTATGCTTTATGTTTTGTCTGAGTGGGCTTATTTGCCAAACTCAGTGTCCCCTGAAGGCATCCACCTAAAAGCTTTGCACTCGGGATTCCTTGCACACACACAGTTTGTTAGTTCAAAAATAAAATTGTCATGTTTGCATATGTGTGCAAACAAGTGAACTAGTTTTTGAAGCTTTTGCAGCAGAAGTAGAACTTGTTGAACCAAGGATGAGGAACAGACAACTTCTCTGACATTTTCTCCCTCCCTGCAAATATTGGAAAGCTAGTAATTAAGTAATTAGTGTTCTACTAAATTTAATTTCATTAAAAAACTTGCTAACTGCTTCCAAAATCTTAAATTTAACTAGTAACCTAGTAACAAGGCAACTCCTTAACAATTTTCCAATCTGTAACTTTTTCAGTAATGCTATTTTTTCTAGCAAATCTTGCACAGATACAGCAGCAGACATTTGGCCATCATGCTTTGGACCCTTCTACAGTAATTATTTTTCTTTTATGAGAACATACCGAAATGTGGCAGCCCGAATTTGGTCTGTAGAGATATCCAATCGGATGACTATGCCTAGGAAGGTCCCTGAGAGTAATTCCCGGCATGCAGTTCCCACAAGGTAACATCAGATTGTTTCAAAGCAGCGCCCAGTTTCCTGCGTACCCTGCTCTTGGTGCGCTCCAGCTGCTCCCGCTGCTCCCCGAGCTCCTCGATGATATCCGTGCCGATCTGGTCGGTTTCAGCAGCGATTCGGTGCGAGCGCTCGATGCTCTCGCTGGCTCGGTTCAGACTGTCTGTGCCCTGGAGAAGCAGCACCCTCTGTGACTGCAGGTTAGTCTGAAAAATAATGGATGCTTAACCATTAAGCACAAAGACAGAAGTATTAGGCTTGTGACACTAAAAAGTTAGAATGTGACTCCACAGGCCATCCATTTGTATTAGCTGTACATACTTCTTATGTTAACTGATGCAACCCAGTTAATTTCGGCTGAGCCTTGTTCACCTTGTAAGATTATGACCAAATCTAAAAAGGATACAGCACTGAAGAGTTAAAACAGTTCCAAAAAACTGTCTTTGTAGCAATTTACTTTTCCATCAAAGAACATTACGTGAATATATTACCTTTCTTTTCCAGATGCTAACCTTTACTTCCATTCACATTTAACGTCAGCCTTATTTTTGACTTCATAGTTGGTTGCCAGGGAAATCTTTAAGAGTTTACAGTCAAAAGGATTAGGAACAAACAGCACTAACAGATGGACTGCTAAGTAACAAAGATCCTCTTTTCATGCCAGTAGCCTGGGCTAGAGGATAAGGAATGTTTGCTGACCTTGGGGTCAGAAGGTAGCTCAAAATAAAGTGTTTTCTTAAGCTTCAGAAAGTCTAATCTATCACCCTGCTCTCAGGTTTTAGAGTAATCAGTCAAGAGGAATCAAATGCAAAAATTTCCCACCCTACAGCAGAAAGAAATACTAAGCAAAGAACCCCCCTCAAAACTGGCCTCATCTAAGGCAGAAAAATGAAAAGCCCACCTCCATGAACTTTCTGTACAGATGACAGCACTTTGAAGACAATAAGGAGATTCAGTCTCACTAACTCAGATATGTCTAAGCCTATCTGGTAAACAAATAATTTATGTACTTTTTGCATTGTAGCAGCAAAACCATAGTGAAAAAAGTGCTAGATGAAAAATCCTTATATTTTCTTGAAATTATTTACACTACAATTGCTTAAAAGATAATTCTACCAAAGAACCTACACAATGCATGATTCACACTTTACTAGTTTTGGAGATTAGAACTAGGTGAGTTAACCTTTTTTTCATTAAGTAGCATCACTTCTGTGTTTTCCCTTCTGCAGGAAGGGAAACCTGTGGAATGATTAAACAAAGAGTTTCGGTACAGAATGTTGCGCAAATTACTAACCACATGGCTTTCAAGGAGCTCCATTTTGATTACATTCCTATCTTTCTTTTAGAACAGAAAAGCTCTCCTCTGAGTTCCAGGTGTTCTTTCTCCTCCCTAAGATATTCATGTTACATGCAGAGAGATATACAAGGAGTTATAAAAGCATAGAGATGGATTAAAGTAGAAACACTGTAAACAACGCATCTGCGATACTGCTTTTGCACAATCACAGCACAGTTAAATAAAGTTGACATCTAATCCTTACACTCTGTTCATTTTCTGTGGCAAAGATTCCATATTTTGTATCGCCTTGGTTTCCACGGCCCAAGCCCAAATCTGTGCTTCTCATCTCCCTCTGGAACATGGACAGGTCTCTCCTGTAGGCTCGGATTTTGCTCATCATTTGGTTGCGGAAAGGCACAGGAGCGTACTTCAGCTCTTCCTCCATTTCCCGCAGCTTTAACAAAAGAAAGCATGTTTATTCCTTAAAGCACCAAATCTATTCTCAGCAGCAGCCATACTCAAAACTCAGCACCAGATGAAGGGATTACACATGTTTGTGTTGGACGGGCTGAGGGGGACAACCCTAAACCCCACACCCCATCTAGCATGGAGTACACCACACTACCCAATGCTGTTGAGCCCATGTGCATTTTCAGATACAGAACACTGCAGTAAAAAAAAAATAAAAAATCCAAAGCTTAAACACTTGATTTTTTTTCCATAACATATAACTCTAAATTTCAAAATTTGCAATTCTCACTTTCTTATAGTTTAAGCATTTATAGGATGGGTATCAGCTTTCTATTACATCTGTGCAACAGAGACAGAATCATAGGATGGTTTGGTTTGGAAGAGACCTTAAAGACCACCTCGTTCCAACACCCCTGCCATGAGTAAGGACACCTTCCACTAGACCAGGCTGAATAATGTCCTTGAATACTTCCAGGGATGCGGCATCCAGGGACATCATCCTGATGCCAGGGTGGGGCATCACCTTGGACTTCAACTGACTGTTATGACTTTTTTACATGCCATGAACAGTGGCTTAGCAACTACATCAGCCAATTCCCTCAGGACTCCAATTCCCTCAGGATGCATCTCATCAGGTCCCATAGATGTATGTATGTTCAGGTTTCTCATGTGGTCATGAACCTGGTCATCCCCTAAAGGAAGGAATTTGCTCCCATGGTCCTGGCATGGCAGTCCACTAACCAAAGAGATTAGGAAAAGAGGCTACTACTGAAGATTGAGGTAAACAAGATGTTGAGTACCTCAGCCATCTCCTCATTCAGATCTATTGCATGGATAGGCACAGCACTAAATTCATGCTCTGAACATCCAGGCTTGGCAACTGGAGTTACAATCTGAGATTCTGGATGCGTGAATTTTCACATCAACCTCTGGTAACAGCTGTAACAAATTCAAAATGCTTAAAGCTGTATGCTAATATGAGCTCTCACAGCCCATATTACACAGCTCTCTCTCATACATCACCTAGTGGTACCAGTCAATAAACCCCAGTAAGTAAGGGGAATAAGCACCATGTTCAGCTGTGACCAAAGAACAGCCTAACAAACTGCACACTGAAATAAGAAAAGAAAGCTTCATCTATAATGTCTTGTTTCAAAAGACGAGTCACATGGCTTTTTTGGTGCTGTTCCGTATCCCGTGCTGTCCAGCAAGCCTATGCACTACTACAGAAAGATCAGACAGGCTAAGACCAACATGAAAAAAGATAGTAGGGCAATAAAAAACCCCAGGCAGAAGATTCTCTACATTCCTGCCCTAAAACCTCTAGCAATTTTAATTACACCTCCACCCCTCTACTTTCTGCAACAAAGTAAAGGCAGTTATCAAAACCCAGCATTCAAAAACCCCTGAAAAAATACATAAGAACATGTACCTATATTTATGCATGCATATAAGTATACACAACAGTCTTAACACACACAACTATCAGATCAATCATCAGACAGTAAAAAACTTAAACTCCTGCCTTCCAGAATAGGATCCATAAAAAAGTAACATTTGCAAGTACTGTCCTTTAAGGCAGCAGTCTTCCATCCATCAGGAAGGCTGGAAGCCTCACACTCACCGTCTCGTTGGCTTCACGCTGCTTCTCATCGAATTCTCGAACCAGTTTTTTCTTCTCCTCTGGGAAAGTAAAACCAGTATGTCAGATAAACTATAGAGAAATGACAACAGAACTCCAACTCAATCCATTAAAAACAAGGAAGCTGCCACAGATGGCTGGCTGCAGAGCACCAGGTCAAAATTTATCTCAAATGGGAACAGCTTGTTCTTATGACAACTTTTCAGATGGGAGTGGGGCAAGAGAGTAGAAATTTCTCTTCCAAATTCTGAACAGTGCCTCTGGTAGACAAAAGAAATAATTTTTCAAATATTTTTCTGACCTACTGTCCTTCAATGTCTACTGACAGGATTGCATGTTGAAAAACATTTAGTGTGAAATAATAGCAAAGAAGTCACATTGGTAAAGAGCTCACAAATGTATTTCTTATTTTTTGGAAACACTTGGCAAGGTTTCTGAAGGCTGAAACTATAATTTGGATTTGAACAGAACATCAGGTCAATCTACATTCTCAAGTGAGTCCTGAGGGTCCTGGGACATCTGGCACTCTGCATTCCTGTGGTCATAAAGTACAAAGGATAAGCATTCCAGAGTTCTCTGAGATAAAAGATGTCACCAAGGTATCATCTCAGGTTCACAAAGTAAAGCCCAAATGCTTCCCTCTTGTGGGATGACATGAATTGTTTGAATCAGCCAACAACACTAGACATTTTAGTTGTTTGAGACAGCAATTTACCCAGATCTGTGTACCTAGGGCTTTGGAGACCAAAGAATGGGTTTCACTGCTATTACTCTAGTTTTAAACAAAACCTTAATGCATGTATTTTTTATATCATATCATATCATAGCATATCATAGCATATCTAACATCCACCATTGATGAAAGTCTAAATCCGAAACTTTCCTTATCTCAACTGAGCAAAACCACATTCTGTAATCTGCAAAAGCACTGAAGATGAACACCAGAGGGCTGTTGTAGAGTACTGCAAACAAACCCGAACTCTATCAGAAATCTGATAACTATGCACCTAGCTTAATTCACCTCTCTCAAAAGAGTATGATTATTCAGTCTTAAAAAAAATTCTAGGCAGCAGAAATTGTAGACTGCCCTCTTGGTAAAACTCCTCCAATTTGATTAAAGACAAAATTACACACAACATTATAAAACCATCATCGCAGTAAAAAAATTCACTTGATAATGCCTTTTGGTAAGAACAGTCCTCTGCAAAAGAAGTAGCTTTTACACCACTGAGATCTCAACAGAAGATAGGAAAAGATTTGGTGTGTTCAGAACACTGGTATGTAGCTCCTCTCACATATACAACACACCTAAGCTGTAGGCTTTCCTTCTCAGTTCAAATTCAGATTAAGCCCAGAATTTGAACTGTGGAGAACTTAAGACAGAACTAAAACCCATCATCTAAAGAAGTAGCTGTGGTCTCACGCAACACACGGAATTATTACAGGCTAAGCTACATCATGGCTGTTAATATATTACACATCAGCTGGTATCAGGAAATGCAATTTCACGTCCCAATTTATTCAGAGGGAAATGCTGACTTAAGAGGTTCTTAAATATACTCTCCTCAACTTCCTCCACGATTTGCCACCATATACATTTGTGCTGATGCCATTGTTTGTGCAGCTGGGTTACAAGTGAAATCGTGGACATGAACTGTGGAAAAACAGCCTTTGGAAGTCAGTAATTTGTTTTGTACAGGTCATTTCACTAATCTGATTCAAGCAGTGCCTCTTAAACCCACTTTGCTATTTCAAAGTCATGGAAACCCATCACAAATCTGGAAAAGCAGCATTTCCTTGTGCAGACTAATAAGATAAGCCTGCAGCCAAAGAAATGCCAGCTTCCAAATAGCATAGAGTCATGGAATGGTTTAAGAAGCCAAGCAGCAATAGCTTGAGACCTTTCTGATTACAGCCCAACAAGAAATCCAGCAATGTGGCTTGAAAATGTTCTACTGGATCTGGCTGGTATCCAGAAACACCAAAATACACCGAGAGATTCACTTGGTGTCGCTCTGCACTGAACCACAACTCAAAGCACACAGACAGAACTCTAAAATGCTGCAGCAGTGCCTGTGCCAGGGCAGCATTACCCACAAGCTCATCAACTGATGAGCTGATTTATTTACCTGATTTATTTCCAATCAGTTACAAAGTGATTCAGCTGGAAAGTACAGCTAACTGAATTCATGTAGAGGAAGAGACATCATTTGAAACTTATCCAGATTGCTTCCCCTCTGTCATCTTGTTTATACAGAGTGAAACAGCATTTCCAAACCTCTTCCCCTCATAGATGTCCCAAGGACTACAGGTTCTGTTTTGCTTTTGGAGCATGTGAATTGTCTTAAAAGAGTATTCCAATGTCTCTTTTATCACCTCCTGAATATTTCAAGATCAGATGACTTGAAAAATAAATATACACTTCCCTCCTCCTAAGTACAAGGAGCAAACGAAGAACATTAGGAGAGTAGAATGACTCTACCAAATAGACAAAATACTAAATGTTAAACTGTCTTAGAAATACTTCCAAAAAATAGTGCCAGGATTTTTGCAGGAAAAAAAAATAGAACAGTTGTATTAAAATTTTTTAGCATGTCTGAAAATTCAACTTGCAATTATTTGCAATCTATTGAAAAAAAATCCCAAGCATTGCAAAAAAAGTTGCCTGCAAATACTCCATTTAAGCCCATGGCTCAGAATCCATTGCACATGACTACCACAGTGTCAAGGAGACCTGACAAAGTTTTACTTCACTAAGAAACTGATCTTGCTCATTTCTATAGGAAAATAAGGATTTCTACCAGAAAAAGTACTGCTCCTTTTAAGTTTTTCATCCTTGTTGACCACTAGTGAAATTAAGTGAGGTTTGCAAACTGTCATTTGTGGAGTTCAACACCTTTCTTGTACCAAACTTCCTGGAAATGCTGATGACAAGGACTGTGACCCTGAATTTAACTCATTATTAAACAGAAAGCCCGGTAGGAAACAGGACATTTAGTGTTTCATGCTCTGTGTTATCCAGTGCAGACTGGTATATTCTGAACAAACTGTCTTTATGATTTCACACAAAACTGATCAATTGTGGCAGAATGAACAGTACAGCAGAACGTGGCTGACAGCCCTTGCCACCACTGGGGTACAAAACCTGAGCTGAACCACAGCAGCTCAGAGCAGCCATGGATTACATTTCTCATGGGAAGGGTTCAATCAGAGGCATTCAATGACACTCGCAAAATTCCCCTTGCCACATCGCTCCCCTTTCTGCTTCTCAGAACATTTCCAAGTATCAAGGACCAAATCAGAAGCACAGATCCTTACAGAGGAGTGTTCTGTCAGAGCATTTTATCCTCTGGCGTGGTATAAAGAACACCCATAAAACTAGGTTATGCTTCTAACACAACTTAATTCTAATAATTCTAGTGTGGCTAGAATGATACGTTTTCTCTATTTTGTGAGTGCACAAACCAGACTTTTAAAACAGTCATTTAAAATGCAAACATTCTCCAACAAATCTACAGACGCTTCTGGGAAGTTCTGACAATAAAAAGTGCTTCTATTTCTCCCAATGAGGATTTAACTGTGAATCCAACAAAGCTAGCAAATTAAAAAAAAGGTGGGGACAAGAACCCCAAACCCCCAAAGCACTGCAGTTATTACTGAATCACAGATTCAATTAGGCTGGAAAAGACCTCTGCAGTCACTGAGTCCAACCTGACCTTGTCAACTAGACCATGGCACTGAGTGCCACATCCAGTCTTTCCTTAAACACCTCCATGGAGGGTCATTCCGCCATCTCCCTGGGCAGCTCATTCCAATGTCTAATCACCCTTTTTGCGAAGAAATTCTTCCTAATGTCCAACGTTAATTTCTCCTGGTGCAGCTTAAGACTGACAGGCTCTTGTCCTGTCCCGGGTTGCCCGCACCTGGCTGCAGCCTCCTTTCAGGTGGTTGTGGAGAGCCAGGAGGTCACCCCTGAGCCTCCTGTTCTGCAGTTCAAATAGAAACAGCGTGAAACAGCATCCAAATAACAACTCCTCCTCGGAGACTGATGCTGTGAACCTAGCACGGCACTGCTTGCCAGCGGAGATGAAATTTGCCAGAGCAGAGGAGCTCCAGGGGAGTGAAGCCACACACTGCAAAGCTGCAGGACACGGCAGCAGCTGAAAGCAGCACACGGCAGAGCCTCCCGCCTCCTCCCAGCAAGCGCCTGCCAGAAGCGACGTCCCCAATCGCTACACCTGCAACCCCCCCACACAAAGTCCTGAAGGGACACAGCCTTCCCAGCTGCTCCCGCCACGGCCCCGCAGCCGCCGGGGCACCTCCGGCCGGAGGGACCGCGGCCCCGCCCGTGCCCCGAGGGACGTCCACTCCCCCTCCCCGCCTCACCGGCCGCGCTGCCCCGCAGCCGCTCGGAGACGCCCCGCAGGTCCCCGTGCAGCCCGCGGAAGATCTCGTGCAGCCGCTCCAGGTGCTCGGAGGACGCGGACCCGCGGCCCGCCATGGCCCCACAGCCCCCGGCCCTGCCCCGCCCGGCGCTTCCGCCGCCGGGGCCGGCTCGCGCACGGCCTGCTGGGAGCTGTAGTCCCGGGAATGCGGCCGCGCCCGCGCCGCGCGGGGCGCTCGTGCGCCGCCGCCACGGAGCGCCCCGGGCCGGCAGCGCTGGTGCGACCCCGGGGCTCCCCGGCACGGCGTGACCCGCCGCCCCGCGCTGCTCCCAGGCCTGGGCGCCTGCCCACGTGTACATCGCTGCACGCCCCTTGCCAGCGTTAATGACATGAACCTCGGCGGGGAGTTGTAAAAATGTGTGTCAAATGTCACTGCCGAGAGCCGGCGCTGCGCTGTCTCTGCAGACATATCTCGGCTCCTTAATTGAGGAGCGCGTTCCAGAACGTTTCGAGGGACGCAGGTGGAGTAAAAAGCAGAGGGCTGCAGGCGTACCCACGGGTACTCCCGGCGGGGGCGCGGCCCGGTGCTGGAGGTGTGGCGGTGCGCTTGTGGGCGAGGCCAAGGCGGGAGGGGCGGAGGCGGATCCAAAGGGGCGGGCGGGACTGCCGGGAGCCGGGCGCTGGCGGTGCGCGGGTGGCCGGCGGCAGCGATGCTCACCTGCTGGGAAGCCGCGCTGGGCGCCGCCGTCTCCGTCCCCGTCTTTCTTTTCGTGGCAGCGCCCTACATCAGGTGCGTCTTACCGAGCGCAGCCCCTGCCCTTCGCGTAGGCCCGCAGAGCGGCGCCCGTGTGTGTGTGTGTGTGTGGCGGGAGTGTGAACAGCGGGAGTCCCGTTCTGCAGCCCGCGCTGGGGTCGGAGTTATTCCGGCGTGCCCAGCTCCAGCGCCCCGCTGACCGGGGCTGGAGTGTGCCGCGCTGCCGGGGCTCGCTCAGCAGCGCCCGGCGCGTTCCCCGGGCTCCGTTCCGGCACCGGCGCGCTCGCGGAGGCGCGGCAGGGGGCGGGGCCCGCGTTCTCCTCAGGGCGCGGCGGCGCGGCCCATTGGCCAAAAGGTCCCGGCGCGCGCGGCAGCAGCCAATAGGAGCCGTGGCTCCACTTGACGCAAGGACGGGGCGGGCGCCGAGGGCGGGGCGGCACTCGGGGAAGCGCGGGGGATCGGGGCCGCGTTGTCGCCGTCCCGCTCTCTGTGACCAGCCGCCTCAGGTGAGGGCGCCCGTGACTCCCTGGGCACAGCGGTGAGCCCGAGTGTTGATGCGAACCCCCAGATTCTGGGTGCTCAGCCCCGGACGGGGCCCGCTAAGGAGGCAGAAGTGACTGGTGCCTCCCCTCTTGCAGGCGGTATGTCGCTGGAGGACGGTGTAAGTCGACGGCAAGGCTGGAGGGGAAGGTGGTGATAGTCACAGGAGCCAACACAGGCATCGGGAAGGAGACCGCCAGAGACCTCGCGCAAAGAGGCAAGTGCAGTCTCGTCAGCAGGCATCCTTCTGCGGCCGGAGTGGCTGTGCCTTGTGTCAGTAGCCCCTTTTCTGGACCTAAGGAAGACGTGTTGTAGGCTTACATTGAAGTAAACTGGATTCCAGAGTTAGTGCAAATGAGCCGAGGGCTGTTCCTTCATAGGATGTAACCACTGAGGTGCAAGTTCCCAGATTCTCAACTGTTTTCATTGCTTGGACTCCAAAAATGTTGCCTTGGGGACATGAAAATGTGTTGCATTGCAACTGATTTGAGAGGACTGGGGAAATTCCTGGACTCTGCTTGTAAGAACATGGGAAATGCCACAGGTCCACCACTGTGTGCTTTAGTTATGTTTCAAGCTAATTTGATGTAAATGTCATTGGCTAACTGGTAAGAAGATTAAACTACCTGTTCACAATCCATTTAGAAATTACTCTGGCTGGAATCCATCACCCTTCTGTGCTCCTGGCTTGATGTTCCCATTATAGAGGCAGATAACAACCCTATCATATCAGTGTTGTATGCACTCCTGACCTGGGAGAACATGGACAGAAGCACTTAAGATGTGCATTTGCCTGGTCTGAAATCATCTTTCAGCAGGATTGCAACTCACACTTGAGTGGGAAACGATTTGTCTCTTCCAGCCACCCCCCTGACCGATGCTAGTTCTCTAAACAATATATTGTTTGTAATTGCTGGGCATGGTCAGCCTGCTTGTCACAGCCTTGCTCATCCAGTGTGCTCCAGTGGTCTCAGTTCCTGTTCCTGTTATTCCCCCCCTCCCCTCCTTGCAGGTGCAAGGGTAATTCTTGCCTGCAGAGACACAGCAAAGGCAGAAGCTGCAGCCAGTGAAATCCGAGCTGAGACGGGGAACCAGGAAGTCATTCCAAAAAAACTGGACTTGGCTGATACGAAGTCCATCCGGGAATTTGCTGAGAGATTTCTAGCAGGTACAGTCTCTAGAATCTTCTTTTTAGCAAGAATATTTTACGAAGGACTGCTGTCTGTTCTTCTAACCATTACCAAATCCCTACCCTGCTTGTGTCTATACCTCTTGGGTACTGTGCTTCACAGCAGGGCCATGAGCTAGTTTGTGGTAGAAGATGTGTATCCTTTTTTTAAGGTGATGTAGCTGCAAGTCAGACAGCAAGGGATGACTTGTGCTACCTTCTTGTCTGCATTCTCTGTTTCCTTGTCTAAGGATGTCTGTTGTTTCTTGCAGAGGAGAAGGAACTCCATATTCTCATTAATAATGCCGGGGTAATGTTATGCCCTTACTCCAAGACTGCTGATGGCTTTGAGATGCAGCTGGGAGTCAATCACCTTGGTAAGACCAATGGAATCATGTTTGCACTCAATATGGAATCACAGAATTGTCAAATGATTTGGGTTGGAATTGCCCTTAAAGATCATCTTCTAACATGAATATCTGTTGCAAAATGCCAAAGGAAAATCCTGCTTTCAGATTTTCTCTTCCTCATTCTTCCTTTTACAGGAAGGATGGAGGGCCAGAGTCAGAGTTCTGGAGATGCAATGTGGTATTTGCATATCAGGGATCCAGTCTAAATATCTATATGTGTTACCTGGGACATTTTGAAATGTATGACAGCTCTAGCTTTTTGAAGATGAGGAGCAGAACCTGAAGGCCCTAAAAAAGTGTAGATGTTAATTCAGGGAAATTTAACAGAAATTTTCTTTTTCCTGGACTTGAAATGAGTGCAGCAGTAAGATACCACCTGTAAGCAAGCAGGAGAACCCTACCTAGAAGGATGACCTAGAAGGATGACCTTTCGTCTCCCCCCAGGTCATTTTCTCTTGACCTTCCTCTTGCTGGAGCGTCTGAAGCAGTGTGCCCCAGCCCGCATCGTGAACGTGTCCTCACTGGCTCATCACGGAGGCCGAATCCGCTTCCACGATCTGCATGGTGAGAAGAGCTACAACCGTGGCCTTGCCTACTGTCACAGCAAACTGGCCAACGTGCTCTTCACCCGCGAGCTGGCCAGGCGCCTGCAAGGCAAGTTCAGAGGGGCGTTTGTTCGGCTGCTTGGCTGTCTGAGCACTGTGCACAGGGAGAGTGGACTGAAGAAAGGGCTGCAAATCGTCTATGCAGAAATTGGATGGTTTGAGGAAAATGTCACTGAGAGCTCTTTGCAGGAAGAAAATATCTCTCTCTGTGCTGTAAGTCTCCTGTAGAACCAGGAGACTTACAGCACAGACTTACTTAGGCTGTAATACTTATGGAATGGAGTGGTTGGCTTGTATTCAAATTAGAGTGGGAAAGGTACACGAGACTCAGTGCATCCACAACCTTATTTGTTCCTGGATAGAAGAGTACTGGAAAAGCCGTGTGCTACTCGTGTTAACTGCCTGATGGTGTTCCAAATGTATGTGCACTGATACTCGCTGGCCTCTGTGGAGTTCCTAGGGGAGTTCTGGCCCATTTATGGCTCAGACCTTTATCTTCTTTGGAGCCTGTACCAAACTACTGCTGATTTGGCTAAGAGGTCAAGTGTATCTATCACATCCAGCATGCAGTAACTACAGAGGACTTCACTTACTCTCTGTATCCAATGCTACTTAAAGGACTCCTCCTTTAAGTTATAGAATATCTAGAGGTAGAAATGAGGAGTATTTTATCCTTCTTTTAAAAACACTTTGATCCATGCAGATTTGTCCTGGACTTTATTTTGCCATAGGCACTAAAGTCACAGCAAACGCTCTCCATCCCGGGTCTGTCTATTCTGAACTGGTGCGGCACTCATTTGTAATGACCTGGCTGTGGAAGATATTCTCCTTCTTCTTGAAGACGCCTTGCGAAGGAGCTCAGACCAGTATCTACTGTGCAGTAGCTGAGGAGCTGGAGTCTGTGACAGGACAGTATTTCAGGTGGGTGCAAGCTGATGAAGTGATACTCTGTGGAAGGCAACTTCATTGGCTGAGGAATATGGGCCTTACTGTCATTCTTCATTAACAAGGGGCCAGGTAAGAGGCTGGCTGGTAAGACTGAGGGTGACAAATAGAGCATTACCCCTTCCAGGTCTGTTGCAATCATGTTAGAAGAAACACCTGACCTGTGCAACACTTCATACAACAGCATGTCCTTTAGTGCTAGAAATATTTATGTACTCAAAGTGCAGGAATGGCAGTCACATGCTCAGAGCTCTAATGCTGACCTGCCTAACACTTGGGAAAATCACTTTTCAGTAGAACTGTGTAGTTAATTAGGTCACTTCAGTAAGTTCTGGGAAGACCACTTCATTTCCCTTCGTAGTTTTACGCCACTGGAGCAGAAGGGCTTGTGCTCTCAGGGAGCTCAGAGTGCTGATGGAGCTGCAGAGACAGGTGAAATTTTCAGGTCTGGCATGTGACCAAATAACTGCATCCTCCAGTGTGATAGACCCACCAGCTGGCAGGGACTCTTGCTGGGCTGTTTGTCACACTGTCATGGAAATGGTCTTGTTTAGCTCCCATTAGAAAACCTGTTATTTTTTGACTTATTTTACTTACTGCAGGACCCTACATTGTTCTCCTTTTCCCATCACCAAAACCACAGCCCAGAGTAGTTTCAGGTCATCATCATTTTATATTTGAAGACTGCTATTTGAACAGATTCCCACAGATATGTCTGCCAGCTTCCC